AAAAAAAAAGAAACTTTGCTTGGAAAAATCTTTTCTGTTTTCAAACTAAAATACTTGTTAAATTCTTTCATGAATAACATTAAATCATTTTGAAGCAACAATCATACGAATTTCAAATGTCAGTGACATATAAATGACAAAAGTTATTTGCGATTATGCAAATTCTTAGTTCATTTTAATGCTCATTTATTATAATATCTGGTTTGGATACTAGTTTATAATACTAGAATGGAAGGAGACAGTACCTCAAGCATACCAAAAAGATACTATAAAACAATATTAGCCTAAAGTCACATAGTCTAAACTATCAGCAATATATTCGCAGGTTCCATTTAATGGAATAATCTGGTGATTTATGTTTATCCTGAAATGATTATAAATAGGTCTATTTAAGATTGCCGTCAAATAAGCTGTAGATAGTCGCGGCAAAGAATCTAAGCATTATTAAAGTGTTTTAGCAAATATCTGGTTAAGCTTCAGAACTTTTCAACATTAATTTTTACCTTTATTAGGAATTATTTATTGAGGAGGGATAGTGCAACTTATTAATTGAATATATAATGAGGCTTAGATTTGTTTTTCAAGCAATCGATTGTGAAACAACTGATAACCTCAAAACAAATAGTTTATAACTTCATCAGTCAATTGCGGAACGACTGTAATCATTTGCTATGGTGTTGACAGGCTGTAAAGTCAAAGATTAGTCGTTGAATGTGCAGGAAAGGTGTGCACATGACTAGGTAAACCTTTATTGTTGTTAATGTGTTCGTGTCCTCAAGTTTTAAGTTTTTGTGTCTTCAAGTATTCAAATGTTTAAGCATTCAGCTGTACAAGTTTTCAAGCTTCCATATTTTCAAGTTCTCAAGTAATCAAGAAAATAAGTTTTCAGGTATCTGAGTGTTCAAGCACTGGAGTACTAAATATTAAAATAAATATTTGACAATAATATTAATAGTATTTAAGTAATATTAATATTAATAATAATAAGGAGGAAGACATAGTATTAATGGTATCTTAAATGTGTTTAATATTTATCACCTATTCAATATTTAACAATATTTAACACTGATAATATTATTAAAATATTTAAGTAATTCAAGTGCCAAACTATTCAAGCACTAAAATATTTTACTGTCCAAGAAATAAGTATTTAAATGTCCAAGCATTTAACCACTTAATTATTCAAGTTTTCGAATGTTCAAGTACTCAAGCATTTAGGTGTTTAAGTATTCAAGTATTGGAATATTCAGATATTCGAGTATTCAAGTATTTAGATGTTCAAGCCTTTAAATTTTCAAATACTTAATTACTCGGGTATTCAAGTAATTGAGTCTTAAACTGTTCGACCACTTAGGTATCCAAGTATTTAAGTATTCATGTATTTGAGTATTCAAGTATTTGAATATTCAAGTATTCAAGTATCTGAGTATTGAGTACTTGAATTTTTAAATAATCAAATGAGCACTTATTTAGTCATATAATTAAGTTTTCAAGCATCGGAATATTCAAGTGCCCAAGTTTTAAGCACTAAAGTTTTCAGTTATTCAGGTATTTAGGTATCCTGGCGTTAACGTATTCAAGTATTCAAGTAATGTTGTTTAGTTATGCAATTATGCAAGTTTTTAATAATTATGCATGAAACATTAAAATCAATATGTGTTAGTTACTTTTCAGAACTATCATTTGTTAAAATGAACTGTTGCATTTCATACAGTTATAATTATGCAAACAATTGAATTCCGGATACATATTGAATCACTAAGGTGTAGATGTAAATTTACATATTTAATTATTATATTACAGTTATTATGTATAACAGCGCTTCCAATAACACCAGTATTAGCATTCGTGAAACGTTGGTTGTTTGGTTCATTGTTATGCAAATTGGTTCCATTATGCCAAGGAATTTCTGGCAAGTTTTTTCTCATTCCTTTTACTCTTTATTTTTTTTAATTTTAGCTAAAGTATAATATTCTATCTTTCCATTCATTGTTTTATTAAATTTACATGAAAAGTTTTGCGATAATTATTAGTCCTATTATGCTAAGGAATTTCTTCAAAAAAGAAAAAATGTTAAATATCATATAGCTAAGAAAGAAATAGATTTCTTATCTGATTTAAAATTTTTATTTTCAATAATTAGTAAAAACAATTTTTTAATTGCTGAAAAATTTCAGTGTTAATCTCAAGTTATTGCTTATGCTTTATTGCTGTTGATCGTTATCGTAGTATTGTTATGCCAACTCGAGAACCATGGACAACATATCATGCATATTCATTAATGGCTATATCATGGCTTATTTCAGCTACCGTTTCATTACCACTTTTTGTTACCCAACAATTGCAACCGTTAGCGCTTGAAAACACAACACTTTGTGGTTATGTAAGTTAAGTGTAATTTTAAATGAAAAATATGAATTCCAAAAAGTTTTGCCATTTTTTAGTATAAATATTGTTAGAAAAGATAGGTTAAAAATGATACAAAAGATAGCTTATTTCTTATCATTACTACTATTCCTATCAGTTATAAGTGATTATTTCATATGAATTGTACTGTTAAAAATAGTTTGCAAGACGAAGCTATCGTGTCATATTTTTAATCAATGAAAGGTAAAAGTAAAAGTTTGACGACTATCATTATAAATCTATTAGGTTACAACATTAGGTGTAGCATTTAATAATTTAAAAAATTTGATAGATTTATCGAATTTCAAGCTCAACTTTTTTTTTTAGTTAAATAGAGACAGATTTTAATTATATTTAATTTGCAAATTCTCGAAAAAATAAATTGGTATCAGTTGCTGCCTGCCATTCATTCGTTTTATTCAGATGTGTAATTTATAAAATTCTAATTAAAATATCTACTTCCAAAAATTGCAATCAACCTTTAAACATTAATTATCCAATATTTACCCTTTACAAATATTAACTTGTAATTTATAACTCCTGAGGCATGCTGATGACAGAGATATCAAACTGAATCGTAGAATTCCTTTGGATCTTTTCTCATTAATATACAGTTTTTTTTTAGAGATTCTTATAATGTCAACAGTTCATAATCATCTTGTTACAATCACATTTAAACACGTCACTACCATAGCTTATCACCTGACACCAAAGTTTATCATCCATTATCATGATTTCTCATTCATTATCAAGCTGACCACTCACAATCAAAATAAGTAATTAAATTAGCTAATTAGAAACTGAAAAATCATTGCTTAAACCATGCATTTACTTAGAGTTTAAATGAATATAGTTTACTGTTGCTAATAGTTGAAAAAATAAGCAATAAGTTTTTGAATTTTTCGAAAGTTTTGAAATTTCAAAAGTTTAAAATTCAAAAACGATGCATATTTTTTTGTTTGCAGTTTTGTGGTGAATATAATTGGCCAGAAGATAATCGCATTAAATTATTTTATGGTTCTATGCTACTTATTTGTCAATACCTCATTCCGGTAACTATTATGACATTTTGCTATTGGAACATTTTACAAAAGGTTCTGTTTTTTTTTCAATTAAATTTTATTCATTCTTAAAAATTTTATGCTATTATTGGGTCAAAATCAAAATTTTTAGATTTTACTATCTAAAAATTTCTCCCAAAATTTTCATTCATTGGGAAAATTATAAATTAATATTTTGATTTTGTGATATTTTCTTAATTATTGTAACTTTTTTATTTTAGAATTTTCTAAAAATTTTCATAGATTATAATAATGAAAATTTAATGAATTATTTTTTAGGTTCGTGCTGATTGGATTGTGGCCCAGCATTCATTGTTAACTGCAGCCCAGCAAGCTCAAACAGCTGTTCGAAAACGACGGGTAATGTATGTATTGATATTGATGGTGGTTGTATTCATGGCATCTTGGCTTCCTTTGACAATTGTTAATATTTTCCGTGATTTCGGAATAGGTTATTTTTTATTTTTTATTTTTGATTTTTGGATTAGGTATTTCTTGTGATTACGAAATAGGTACTTTCCGTGATTTCGGAATAGTTATGTAATTTTTATGGTAAACTGATCAGCCAACCGGTTAACAGTTTGCATGATTATCTTTGGGAAAATAATTATTTAAATATTTGATTTTTCAAATGTCCCATAACTGAAAAAAAGCTATATAAAATTTGATAAATGCAAGAAATAATTTCTTATCATAAAGTGTAATTATTTGAGATGAAAAAAAAATCAAAATTCAAAGAAATTGAATATGTTAATATGAGTTCCTTAATTGTTCCATTTCAATTATTACTTTAAATCAAATTGTTATAATATTTCGAATTTTATAAAACAAATATATTACTTGAAAAAATGAAATTAAAACATCAATATAAAATCATTTAAATTTTTTACGCTCTATTTGTGTTTTAAAATAATTCTACAAGAAAAAAACAAAACATTAAGTAAAATAAATAAAAAAAACAAATACAAAGCATTTTCTTTTGGAATTTGCAGTAACAAAATTAAATGTCTGCTTTTTTTTGTTAAAGCAAACATGTTAGTTTTGGTTTTTTTCGTTTTAAAGTTCTGTTTTGTTAAAAGCTTTCTTCTCAGAAAATCTACAAAAAAAAGAAAGAGGAAGAGATGATATCAATTTAATTTTTTTCGAAATTTTTTTGCTTCCTTTTAAAATATATACTTAAAAAATAAGTGAAATTTTAAATCAGTTAATTGAATTAAAAAATAAGTGAAAATCTAAATCAGTTGATTAAATTAAAAAATAGGTAAAATTGGAAATCAGTTAATTAAACTAAAAAATAAATGAAATTTCAAATCAGTTAATTAAATTTTTGAAATAATGCGCTTATTGCAGAAGCATTTTTGGATATGCAAATGTACTTCAAATTGCTCAATGTTCATGCGATAGCAATGACTTCCATTGTTTGGAATCCATTATTGTATTTCTGGATGAGTAAGGTTAAATTTTGACCTGAAGAAAAAAGGAAATGAAAAATGTCGAAATCCTCTTTTCAACTTACACTTCATCCTTTTTTATTCCTTTAGATGAATTTTACTTTAAAAAAAAGTTAAAAAATTCAAATAAAATTTAAAAAAATGGTATTCATTGATGAAATAGACAGATGATTAATTTTTGTAAGTTTTATATACTGTATTGAAAGAATAGTACGATATTCAGCTAATCAGTTCGAACTATTTCTCATTAATTTGATAAAAATTGCAATACTTTCGTAATGTTTACCTTTTTTTGTTTTAATAATTAATATTATATGGCTAGGAAAAAAAATAATAAAAAAAAGAAGTTAGCCGACTTGTTTTACTTTGTTTCAATTAATACTTTTTTATTTATTTGCCTTTATTTATCCGTTACCTTTTCAAAATATCTAATTATCAAACATGACAGAAGTTATCAGTACTGATACAAATAAGCTTAAGTTAAATTCCCATTTGGGATTACTTTTCATTTTCTTCATCTTCTTCTTCTTACCAGGATTTTTTTTCTTTAATTTTCAATTTTATTTTAATTTTTATTGCTTGTTTACTTCTTTACTTTTTGCTTATCAGATATCTTTAATTTAGTTCGTGTCATTGTTCATTAATAAATGTTTATCAGTAAATGTTTCTCAGTTATTTGTGAAAAAGTTAAATGTATTTCATTAAATATGGAATTTTTGAATTTTTTTAAAATTCTCTTTAAAAAAAAGGAAATTTTTTTTCTTTTTTTCTATTTCATTCGTTGATTATGAGCAATTATAAATGTTCCATACGGTTTGCAGCGACATCGGAAAGCATTTAAGGAGGATATGATCGGAACGGGTAATAATTATCGACGAAACAATGAAATGAGATTGATGAAACGTTTTTTCATATCGAAATCACCACAACCTAATAATCTTGTATATAAACAAAATCATAGGCATTATAGGTTATTATTTTCAAATGTTTAAAAAGAAAATTAAAAATTTTTCAAAACAATCATATTAACGATAGGTAATATTGAAATTAAAAATAATCAATATTTTACAAATTATTTAATTTATTCAAGCTATTAGCAATTATAATAAAATTTCAAACTAAATATTCCGAAATAATTCAGAAGATATGCATGATAAATCCTCTTAGAGAATGTACGTTTACTCATCTTTAGATATTTCAAACAATAATTTTCATTTGATAGTTGGATATGATAATAATATCAATGATAATAGCTTAGGATGAGATTGATGTAAATTTTCTTGATTTAAATCAATAATAACTTAGAAAGAACTTGAACTGAAAAGTTTCAAAAGAATCTGTAAGAGATTTGATAAATTTCATCATTATATTTTACTCGTAAATTTAAAAAAAAAAAAATTATGAACAAAAAAATTTGTTACATCACGAAATTTCTATTTTCCTTACTTTTAATTTCTAATTTAAAATGAATTTCCAATTTAAAATTAAAAGTAATTTACAATATACAGAGAAATGAAAATTGAATTCTTCATAGTTAACGTTTTAAATTCGCATTCAAGATTATTCATTTAATATTTAATGAAAATGATTGCTTGCATTTTACCGCAAACTTTGCAAACTCTGCAAACTTTGCAATTTCGGCAAATTACTTTGCTAACCATTCCAATTAACTTGCAAAAACAGTTCGAAATAATGCAAATCCATTGTATTTATATTTGAAATAGATCAATTCAATTATCTCTTCCAATTAAGTCATCTTCCACAAAAATTTGTCTCATTCAACTCTTAAGTTCAATTTTTAAAAAAATAAATTTTTGAAATATCCATAAGTTTGATTAGATTTGAAAGATTATCGTATTATCGTACTTTAAGATCTATTTTATTTTTTTTACCTTCCGCTGTTTGATCAATAACATTTAAAATTACGTCAAAAAATTCAATGCAATATGCAAAACCTTTAGAATCACTACAGAATTAAGTGATCAAACAGCAGAATATGAAAGAAATTAATTATTAAAAGAAGAATTAATTGTTACAAATTTTGAAGCTTGTTCTTATTAGCTGCTTTAATTTGTTTGTTTTAAATTTCCTCTTCAAAAATAACTGCTAGAATGATGAAAATTCATTTAATTTCAAAATGAAACACTTTAGAATATGTCAATTTCAGGCGTGGTACATTGACCGATCCGACATGTATCACTGCTGAAAGGGCATTTGCGCATATGCATGCTAATTGCTTCCTCTTGGTACCACTATTACCACTTTATCAGGCTTCCTTGAACCAAAAAATACAATTAACGACGCGCATAACTAGACCAGATTAATGCTAAACAAAACTTCACTTGTAGGCCTCAATTATGGACAATTAATGAGAGGATATAAAAGGGAAGCTTATAAGGCTTCTTCAGAGCATGTCCAAGCGTTTATGACAAAATCTTAAATATGCTCAATTATATTACACCTTCATTAACACTCAATTCCTGCTATTTGTTTGCATATCTTTAAATAAATGAACCAAAAATGAATAAAATAAAAGTTTTTCTCTGATGTCACAACGCCTGACATAAAGCAGATAACACATCAAATGATATCACTGTCATCTGTTTATGAAGTTACTTTTTTTTTGTTTATGAAGTTTACGTGGATTACAGCGGAGCATATATCTCTTCAATTAAGATTGATTAATTACCTATCAATATTGACTAATTACTGCATCGACTGATTAATTATCTATTAATCAATCGTGAATATTACAAAATAATAGAACTATTCAAATTTGCTTAAAGTTCATGAGAATATTTCATAGCTTTTATACTACCATGCAGCCTTTAGTATCAGTCTAAATGCGATCGTTAGGATTGGAATTCAAATATCGAATTCAAATATCTGCAAATATCGATATCTGGTTATCAATACTTGAAGTTTTCCATTTGATCATTTCATCTTCAACTATACTTTATCGCATTTCTTATCCGGTAATTAGATTAAAAGTTTCATTTTCCTCTCACTCTTTACCATATTTCTAACTATATTCTTTGATATGAAATAAGAAAATAAGCATGAGTATGCAATTTAAATAAAATCTAATCATTGAAATTGAAATTTTTGAATTTTAAAAATTAAAATACTAACAACAAAACATTTCAATGCAAAAAAAAATCACACAAAAGTTGTTTTCTTTCTTCTCTCTCTCTCCTTCTCTCTCTCTTTTACATATACATACATTTTTTCTTTTTTTTGAAGTATTCATTTTCTTTTAGGAAGGAAAAGAATGTTTTACAAAACGAAAAAAAAAAAACATAATAAAAACTCAACCAATTGATTGAATCATTTTGCTTGTATGAAAACGAAATGAAATCATTGCTTACTTTCGAAATTTCACTCTTACAGTGCCATTATGCTCAAATTATTAAAATTTTTATTTGCAATTCTCTTATCACTAATGATAATGCCAACAACAATTGGTCAAAATCCTTTAATTCTATCAGTAACATGCAGAAATTACGGTAAAGTATTACTACGAGGTCAATTAGATGATTGTGTTCCGGAAAATTTTCGCTGCTTTCTAAGAAATCCAATTGTTGTTAATTTGACTGAACTTGTCTGTATTATGGATGGTGAAAATGCTGCAAACAAACCGCCATTGGTAATTTGTATTAATAATTTGAATTTTGTTATAAAATAAAGTTTGGAATTTTTTGAAATCAAAAAAATCGCACAAATTTTAACAAATAATTTTTTTTTTGTAAAATCATAGTATTTCATAATTTATGCTTGAATGAGATATACTATAAGGTTAGAATCAATCAAATAGTCTAGGCCTTCGAGCATGCTGATATGTTGAAATAGAATTATAAAACTGTAAAATAAAATATTGAAATGTTGAGTAAATAAAAGTGAAGGGATAGAACTAGCCTAGGTAAAAGGTCAAGTACAAAGAGAGAGACGATAAGTACAAGTTAGTAATGAAAAATTTATAGAAAAATGAATGCGTATTTAATGAAAAATAAACATAAAATAATATAATTAGATGAAAAATATATAAAGTAAACATGATGTAATGCAAAAAAAAAAAATTAAGTAATAAATTTAATTAACGTAGCTACAGGTGTCATGTATTGTGACCGGAAATGTCCCGTTAATGAAGGAAAAATGTTCGGAGGAAGGAGATTGTCATTCGGTAACGGTATCTTGTCCAATTGCAAAAAAAATGGATGATGGTATCATTAGTGATAACGATGTAGTAGAACAAGAAGAGAATATTATCACTGAAAAAGCATTACCCCATCCTCCACTACAATCAATTTCTACACCAGAAGGTTAGTGTTTATGTTTAAAATTTTTCAAATTATTTTTGATATGGACCGAAAAAAAATCACATTAAAGAATGAACAGAAAAAGATGTATTTTTAAAAGGATGAAAGGATTTATGTGTTTGATTAAGATCAGAAATTTCAGATAGCTCACGATCTTGCTTCTTCTTCAGCGATAATAAAACC